ATGACTGATTCCAGGGTGACTGTAAATAAGTTACCAACATTTTAGGCTCAAAACAATGAATAGCCATAATGAGAATCTGCATGTGTTAGATAAGTAATAATATTTTAAGTCTTTGGGACATTGGAACTTATCTAAATCAGGGCTTTTCAACCGGTGGTACGTGTACAATGGTGATACGTGACCATCTGGCTGGTGGTACACTGTGTCGCCTCCCTCCCCCCTGCGGCATCGCCTTCCTCCCCCCCGCTGCGCTCCTTCCCAGCTCACTTGTTTGTGGAAAACATGCTGCTTGGCAGCAGCCTCCATGAACCCTACCGAATGTGGCCTGCAGGGGGCACGTGAAGAGCGCAGGTGCAGAGCAAGGCCCCGCCCTCTCCAGGGACTCATTGTGCAGCAACCGGATTGACTTCTTCTCATGCACGCAGGTCAGCGGGATCCATATCGCCCTTCCCCTCTCTCTTCTTACTTCACAAGAGCTAGCCTGATAGGAGACAGAGCCGTCCACTCCCTCGGCAGGAAGGGGTTTGAGACCACTCGTCGCAGCCCTGAGCACCAACATCACAACTGCCCCTCCTTTCCCCCTTCTCTCTCTCTCTGTTGCAGCCTCACTCTCTTCTGTCTTCTTTTCCTTCCCCCCGCGAGCTTGCAATACCTCTCAGGGCTCTCACATTGCCTCCCGGAGGACTCAGCTGTTTGGCGGCTGGAAGTCGGAGCTGCTCAGCTGTTGGTCAGGATGCCCATGGAGCCAACACCCAAGCTGCCAGATAGAATGGTGCTGGCCACTGGACTCCTTTGCTGCCCCATACATCGTCCTCCACTCCTCCCCCCCGGCTGTTCATGATGAGCCCGTGGGGGCTTGACAGGGAGAGAGGGAGGGAAGGAGGAAGGGACTCCTCCTCCTAGGATTCAAAGCATGATCAGCTTCCCAAGGGCGCCACAATCCTCACAAAAGCGGGGGGAGAAGCAAAGGGGGCAAGAAAGCTCCCAGCGGGCTGGAAGGAGCACCTGTCAGCATTGGAGACAAGAAACTCCCCCACAAACCCAGGGAAGGGGTGAAGAAAAGGAGCCCCCCTTTGGGAGGAAACCGCCACCTTCTTCTCCTTAGCTTTGTGCTCTCCTATTTCTCGGCAGCGGGCTGCCAAGCCTCTGCTGGCTGGAACTCCGCGTTTTGTTTTGTTTTTTACTTCTCGCCTTCATGTGTTTCTGCCGTACCTCCTCAGCGCTCCTGCTCCCAGGAGTGGGGCGGGCGGAAGAAAGCTTGGCTAGGTTAGAGCAGGCAAAGAAAAGCCACGGAGCTGTGAGCTAAGATTGCAGGCAGGCCGGGGAAGGAGGTGAAGAAGAGGAAGGGTATTGGGAGAGAGGAAACACCAAGCTTGTCCTCGCCTCTCCCAAGGTCCTCCTGCGCCACCTCATAGGAACACCTGGTTTCAGATTTCCGCTGCAAAAGTTTTTCTCGTGCAGAGGAGAGAGGAAAAACAATTATGGAACACTTGGGAATCTCTTGCAAGGCACCATGTACCTTGGTGCTTATTTCCTAACCCCTTCCCCCCGTGTTTTCTGCTCCACCCTGAATTCGCCTCCCTTCCACTCTCCTTACATCCATGGTCTTAATACAGTCCTAGGTCTGTCTCGCTTTCAACACCCCCTAAAATTCTTCATTCAGAAGAATGAAGGGGCGCAAATCGGCGTGTGCTCAGAAATGCCGATTCTGCGCCCCTACCCTCTCGCTCGCGCAAGCAAGCAAGCTGGGCAAGAGCCCAGGATCGGGGCACGCAGCTACAGCTGATCCATGATTCTGCAGAGCAGTCCAGAAGTGCAGATCAGCTGTAGCTGCTCTCCTGGGCTCCTGGCCAGGTCACTTGCTAGTGCTTTGCTGGAAAACATGCTGCTTGCTAATTTAGCAGAAGCGCTTATCAGCTGTAGCCCTGCGCTGATCCTGGCGCTTCTGCTAAATTAGCAAGCGGCATGTTTTCCAGCAAAGCACGAGCAAGTAAGCTGAGCAGGAGCCCAGGATTGGGGCACGCAGCTACAGCTGATCCGCGCTTCTGCAGAACAGCCCAGAAGCGCAGATCAGCTGTAGCTGCTCTCCTGGGCTCCTGCCCAGCTCACTTGCTAGCGCTTTGCTGGAAAACATGCTGCTTGCTAATTTAGCAGAAGCGCTTATCAGCTGTAGCCCTGCGCTGATCCTGGTGCTTCTGCTAAATTAGCAAGCGGCATATTTTCCAGCAAAGCATGAGCAAGTAAGCTGGGCAGAGCTCTCCTCTGCCTCTGCGTGTGCACAGGCAGGTTTGGCATGTTGCCATGGCCACCGGCGGCACAGCCACCAGCCACGCTGGCAACCTGTCCCCCTCCCCTTGTCCCTTCCTGGGCATGGAGAGGGGGAGGAAGGAAGGGACAAAGAGAGGGAAGGAAGGAAGGAACAATGGAAGGGAGGGAGGGAAGGAAGGACAATGAGGGAGGGAGGGACAATGGAAAGGAGGGAGGGAAGGAGGAAGAGACAAAGAGAGAGGGAAGGAAGAAAGGAAGGAAAGAAGGAAGGAAGGGACAATGGGAGGGAAAGAGGGAGGGAAGGAAAGAACAATGGAAGGGAGGAAGGGAAGGAGGATGAGACAAAGAGGGAGGGAAGGAAGAAAGGAAGGAAAGAAGGGACAATGGGGGAGAGAGGGAAGGAAGGAATGAACAATGGAAGGGAGGGAGGGAAGGAAGGGACAAAGGGAAGGAAGGAAGGAAAGGACAATGAGGGAAGGAGAAAGAGACAAAGAGGGTGGGAAGGAAGAAAGGAAGGAAAGAAGGAAGGAAGGGAAAATGGGAGGGAAGGAAGGAACAATGGAAGGGAGGGAGGGAAGGAGGAAGAGACAAAGAGGAGGGAAGGAAGAAAGGAAGGAAAGAAGGAAGGAAGGGACAATGGGAGGGAGAGAGGGAAGGAAGGAACAATGGAAGGGAGGGAGGGAAGGAAGGAAGGGACAAAGGGAAGGAAGGAAGGGACAAAGAGGAAAGAAAGGAAGAAAGGATAGAAGGAAAGGACAATGAGGGAGGGACAATGGAAGGGAGGGAGGGAAGGAGGAAGAGACAAAGAGGGAGGGAAGGAAGAAAGGAAGGAAAGAAGGGACAATGGGAGGGAGGGAAGGAGGGAGGGATGGCTCCCTCCCTCCCACTCCCTCCACCAGAGACTCTCGGATCCTCCCCACTCCCCCGCCCGCACCCCTCACAGGTACCCTGCAACCTGAGTGATGAGCTGGCCACGCCTCCCTTGCCATTCACTTCATTTGTCAAAAAGTTGCAAAAGGTGATCACATGACCCTGGGGATGCTGCAACAGTCATAAGTGTGAAAAATAGTTATAAGTCACTTTTTTCAATGCTGTTGTAACTTCGAACAGTCACTAAGTGAATTGTTTAAGTCGAGGACTACTTGTACTTTATCATTTTTTTCCTTTTTGGGGGGGTCATCAAGTTTTTGACACCTTGCTGGGTGACTGGTGGTACTCGGATATTGCCTTATCCTAAAAGTGGTACATTGGGTGAAAAGGTTGAAAAGCCCTGATCTAAATAGTCTACGATGGATGCCTCTACCCAGAGCAGCCCACATTACAAGGTATTGGCCCTCCTCTGAAGATCAGTGGATTAAGACATCATGAATAATTGTTTTACTTTCTTAAGTATGACTAATTCTGGCATTTCTCAAATTAGGTCAGAATCTTTGTGTGCAGCCCCATGCATTCTAAACTCTTCTCTTTGTTAAGTGTGCAACAAACAGTGAGAATGTCATTTAGAGCACATGCTATATAATCAAAATTTTTCACCAAGTATGACAGTGTTTCTTTTTTCTAGCTCAATCCAACAGTTATGGGGTTGGACTAGATGACCTCCAAGGTCCCTCCCTATTGTTGTTGTTGTTGTTATTATTATTATCATCATCATCATCATCATCATCATCATCATCATTATTATTTCCAGGATGCTATGGATTCCTTCTGAGATTCTCAGTAGCACCAACATGATTCTTAAAGTTTGGTATATGGCTTGAAAAAGATTTGCTCTCTTATCCTCATATATATCACACTTAGGAAGCATTGCTCAGAAACTAATATATATGTAACATATCATAAAGCTATTATCTCATTTTAGAACCTTGCAAATATACATTTTTATGCTTTCTGTGTTACATCCCTATGTCTTTTATTATGTCTCACTTCTCACTGACCATGATAACGTTTTATTTATGTTACCATCAAAATGTGAAATTAGGCATTTTATAGAATGTCTAGGAATTCTATAGAATGTCAACAATGGGATGTCAAAGTATGAAATGCTTAATATTTCATTTCCTAGGCTTCTATGCAGTACCAAAAGGCAAACCAGCAAAGTATAAAATACTCCTGCTAAAATGCCATTCTAGCCTTCCTTGTTGCAACAAGTAGGTCAATGTTGGTCTTTTTCTCTTGATTTTTTTTCAGTAAACGTTTTCCACTTTATTTTGTATTTTTATTTCTTCTTTCATTTTCATGTATGTCTTTTCAAAAAAGTGGGTTAACCCTAACGCTAACCCTTTTCATGATTCTCTTCTCATACATTGCTGTCATTCTGCAGAATGGCTAGGTATTATATACAATGCCTAGGAAAAGTATATAGTATATTAAAATAACACAAACATTTCTTACTTTGCCTAAAAACTAAATCCCAGATCACCGAGACTAAAGAATTTATTCAGAATTCTTCAGACTCGGTGATCTGGGTTTTAGTTTTTGAATATAAATATATATGAATATATATGAATATGAATATATATGAATATATATATACTTCAAAACTTTTTGTCAGCAAAAAGAAATCTGAATGAATACACACACACACACACACACACACACACAAACACCTATATCAACTTTTGAAATTACAGCTGCGGAAATGATACAATAACTTTTGTTTTCAAGCATATTGTGTAAGCATTTGTGTAAGAAATCTATCATTACCAATCCTATGTATCACTGCTTTCAATTACCTGCTTCTGTATATTTTAAGCCTATTTTCTCTTCTTCTGCTTTGAGTGGTGGCCAGACAGTCTGGAGTCTTCCTGGAGTCTTGTCATCCTGCTCTGAAAGAATTACATCAGCCTGATAAAACAAAACAACAAAAACAAAAAAATGTATTACAATATTTAACTTTAATATTATAAATTACTGTACATCCACTTTTGTTTTCTTCTTTCCCTATTTTCATTTTGCAGAACTTTGGACTTGAAGAAGAACATAAAAGTTTGCACATATTGGGGACTTTTTATTTGGTTCACATTATTTTTTTTTACTAGTGGATCACTATGATTTGCATTTTTCCCTTTTTGTATAAACTATCACAGTAACTTGATGCTCCATATAAGCATGTTATCCTTGTATGCATTTCAAGCACGGGATTACCAACTATAGAAAATGAAAGACAATGCACAATGTCACTAGATTAAATTGACAGTGTCAAACTACGGTGGAAGTTCAGTAATTGGTTCTTAACACCCATCATGTAAATTTGAGTAGCGTAATAACAATCAATTTACACTACCTAACAGGTAGTAAACACATATCATGATCCTGGTTTAAACCTCTTGGATAAAAGCAAAATGTTAATGCATTAAATATACAGAAATTATTTTTAAATGTTTTTACAAATGAGAATTTGCTCATCAATATGTTGACTAATCATTGATTTGCTTTCAAAAACAAATTGAAATAATGAGTAAGTCACAAATCTATAAATTATAGGCAAATAAGGCTTTCAATTGCCACTTCTCTTGCTCTTTTTTTAAATGAAATATAATCTGACAATTCATGCATATAAGATTTTGCCTATTAATGTATGATAATCTATATTTGTATAATGTACATTGCTATTTTATACAATACTGTCTTTATGCACAACTCTTATCAAGATAACCTAGTATTGTGCTGAAAAAAATAAAATGGGGGGCAGCCTCAGTTTGGTACATTTTCTGCATCAGAACTTACTATCATTATTTTAATTCATCCCACTCAAGAAACCTAAACATCAAAAACTCCAGGTTTTTACTACTATATTCTAGACATAGCACACAAAAGAATCAATCAACCTACTGGTTTTGTTTCTGTGGCTCCATCACTGGATTTTGATTTAGACCTCTCAAATATTGCCATCAGAGTTTCCTTTTCATGTTTCATTTTACGTTTTATTGCTTCTAATTCTGAAGTGTCAGCAGTTGTCTCTTTTTTGGGAGGACGTGTAAATAAAGCTTTAAATGCATCCAGTGCAGATTCTGCAGGACTTGGTTTCATTTCTTCAGATGGATCTGTTCTCACAGATCTTTCTTGGACCTCTCCAGATGTCGGTACTACTTCATCAATACCTTTCTCCTCAGCTTTAGGCCCTAACAACTGAGAAAGCTGTTCTAGAAAAGTAGGAGAACCTTTTGGCTCTGATATTTTCTTCTTGGTTATCGGGTCAGGTGCAAGATTCGACTTCTTAACAGGCTGTCTTAATTTGAGCATAGCTAGATCACTGTCTTTCTGTTTGATTTCGGTGACAGTTTCTTCCGGATCTTCAGTCAACCCTTTCTTTCGAACACGTAATCCACTAAAGAAGGCTGGGAGCTGGAAGGACTTTTCACTTGATGCTGGCTTTGAAGGAGAATCAGTGCTGCAGTTACTTGAAAGAGATCCCTGCTCTTCTTCAGATTCCTGAATATCCTTTGCTGTAGAAACTGAATTATTATTTTCCTTGATTAGTGTTCTAACATTTGAATTTGAATATATTTCTGGTATTGCATCACCCATTTCTTTTGAAGGCCATTTGCCACTTGGTAGAATTAGCTCTGTGTTATCCCCTGCTATAGCACTACCCATTTTTGTATATAGTTCTGTGTCTTCTTTATTTTGATCATTATCCTCCAATGATAGAGCACAATTTAACACAGAGTAGTTTGTTACATTTCCATGCGGTTCTACATCTGTAGCCTCATTGTCTAATTCTGTGTCATTTGTTGTATGAGCCAAAGTACCCTGAGCAAGAATGGAATCCTTACAATCTTGTTTGCTGAATTCACACAAAGGAGAGTGGCTAGAATAGAGAGACGGCTCCTTCTGCTCCTTTTGCTGTGTTTCCAGGTCACTTGTGCCATAAACATCAGCCTGATGATCATCTGAAACAAAAGCATAGTCTATCGAGGTATTATGTATGCTGTCATTGTCTTCAGAGTCAACAAAGTTTCCAGCATAAATTCTGTGCACACTTGAAGCACCAGTAATAGCTTCTGCATGGTCATTTGAAGCCCAGTCACCCATTCCTGAGACTGCCTCCAAAACAAATATGTCTCTTGTGTCAGTTTCTGGAACAGCCTGAACATTACTTTCTTCCTGCACCATTTCTGGAAGCAGATGAACAGTATTTGGATCAGCTTCTTCATTTACTCTGTTCTTCTCATCCTTATTGTCCACATGGCTATCAATATCCTCATTGACATTTTGAAGCCCTTTTAAAATTACTTGCTGTTTTGAAGTTCCTGGTTCTAATTTATCTGTAAATCCAAACAGTGCTTTCATAGAAAATTTAGTAAATAAAGTATGGCCTGCTTCAGTCTCTTTCTCCTTCCCTGGATTAGGCAGCTTACCGCAATCACAATCTTTTTCCATGTTGGGCAAATCAAAACACACATATATTCCTGGAACAAGAACTATTTATTTCTGTACAATTACTTCCAAGAAATATTTTTTCATTCAGTAAGTAAATTGAATCATTATGGAGGGAAGCTGTTTCTCCAAATTATACACTATTTTTCCAGAACATAGTATTATGAAATGCAAATTCCTACCAACGTCTACAACTTTAGTACAGAAGAAATAGGAAGATTTCACTCATCTTGCATGCCACATTTTCTCAGCAGCAACAGAACTTACTTTTTACACAAAGGGCCTTTTTTTTGTCAGAGCAAATCTGCAAACTAATCGGCTGAAAAGCACGAGGCACAGTTGCATTGATTTTTACTGTTCTGTGAATTCCAAAGCTTTTTATTTTCTAGAAAATAGAGTTAAAGGTTAGTACTGAACAACTGGTACTTGCTGTTTGTTATTTCCTCGTGCCGGTTCATGTCAGCAGAAAATTTCAGAAAGATCCCCACTGTGGTCAAAAGCTGCTTTAGCAGAATCTTCAGAGCGGCTATGTATTAGAAATGTGGAAAATCTTGATGGATTGGAATTTATTTGAAGTTCTTTGCTAAAACATGCCTTGTCTTCTGGAGAATTCCAAGTGTTGAAGTTAACTGACTGTACTGCCCTTGAAACTGAATGATAATAATAAAAAAAAGAAACACCCTTCCGCTTTGGTGCAGGTTTGGTCTGAAATGTAGCTTGCAGCAAGTGAACATCAACCAAGAGGACTGGTTTCATATTACCGTGTTTCAAACTCTGCACAACTATTTCTGTGGCCCACAAACAGGTATTAATCAGGCAGTTTCACCACACCCACGGATTAGAAGTTATATGGGAGGGCAAAGTAAACAGAGAGTATATTCATTAACTCTGAGAGACCAGGACATTTAGAAATATGTATTTCCGCTGTCTTTTCCCTATACAAATATACACATGGGTGTTTGCACATATACTGTATACATGGAACTATTTAATTTCTGAATACCTTTGCAGTGTAGGGCTTGTGATTGATCTTATTTTCCCATTTTATGAACGAAAGCAACATGAACCAATTCCAGATAGGTACAGTTGTTGGTGTAAAATTTAACAGTGTAAAGTAGGTGAAGGAGCAGCTAGTTTTCAGCTTACTTGCTTAACATTTATCAGTAATTCTTTTTTAAAATATTAAATTTATTGGATGAATTACATTGGAGGTATGGACTCGAATTGAATGCCCTGGTCCCCCTTTCAAAAACCAGACAGGGTCAAAGCAAATGTTTAGTTTAAAATGGAAATAAAGTAATTAATAAAAGCTAATATGATTCTTTAATATAATAATACATACATTTGATCCCATTAGAAATTAATGATATGGCTGCTTGAGGAACGGCTTGAGGAACTTCACCCAAAGCTTTTGATGGCTGCAAAAACCCTGGAAATTCAACAAGTTTTTAAAATATAGTTTCATATGTTTTGTCTATTCCGTTAGGTATAACATTAAATCCCTTCATTCCTTCCCTCTTCAGTATCTGTTCATGGGACCTAGTGTACCCTTCAGAATAGAGAGGGGCACAGTTCCTTGCATGAGGACAGAAACCTCCAACTCTGTTGAAAGAAAGAAAGCCTTTTTGTCAAGGTCTTTATGGCATTCGTTTATGGCTAATAAACGAATGCCATAAAGAGGAGGATTACTTTTATTATAACAGCCATAGATGAATCCTGCAAACCTGAAGACTGAATGTGTTTCCTTTCTTCCCTTTATTTTTATGTGAACTAGAAAAGATATGTCTGAGACGTTTTCTCAAACAAGTTTCTTAGCCCAACCGTTGCCTCTACCTCTTTCTTTCACGGCCATTTCTTTACATCTTCCCAAATTCTCTTTTTTGAGCACAGTCATAGCCTGCTCACCTTGATGAACATCCTACTATTCAAAATATATATAATTATAGCCTAATTGTTATGCTTTGGAAATTAAAATCAGTGATGTAACGTCTTAAGTGGAATATTTGTAGACAGAATAATGAGATTTTATTTTCTTTGGCTAAATAGGTCACAGTTCTTTCCATCTATTTAGCTTTTACATATATATGTTTACTTGATAAATGCAAGCAATATCTGCTGTTCACATTGATAAAGTAAAAATGATCATTAGTGTCATAAAAATCTTTAAACATTTGGACTGTGCCATCTGAAAGATTTTTTTTGTCCAAAGTTCCATCACAAGGCTAAACTAAATCAAGGTGAGTAAAATTAATAAATATATCACTTTTCATTACATTCTAGCACTGGGAAAATATATTATAAGGTTTTGTCTTCCTTAAATATAATTGCCACAGCCATGTTCCTCACACCATGATATAATTAAAGTATAAATTTCAACAAATTTAACAAATTGAAAAACAGCAGGAGGATTGGCATAGATTTAAAAAAAGAATTGTGTTGATAGCAAATGATTTCTTTCAAAGTAATATTACATTACAAAAGCATATTGTAGTTATTACTATATTGTTGAAAGGAATTACGATTCTAATGGAACAATCTCATCATCAGATTTCATCTCTAAAAAAGCTTCACACATCAAAGCCTAGGATATTACTGTAACAAGGTTATAGTTAAATGCTTCCGGTATTCAGAAGGACTCAAACAACTTAAGAATCAATTAGAAGATGTACTTCCTCTTACAACAAAATTATGCCAATGAGAACTTGTTTGGAAGAAAAACATATTGATGATCCTAAACGAGAACAAGAAGAACCTGGAGCTCTTGGTTATTTACAGTTGTATGCAAAAGTTAAGTCAAATTGTGAGTTAAACTACTCATAAAATAGCAAACATGGATTCAAAGAGAAAGAGGTTGTACTGAATTCTGCGCCATGTAGAGGCAGTTTCAGCTTCAGTTTGCTCATGGATTCATTAAAAACTACAGTTTGACCATTATTGAGCTAATAATGTTCTTAGAAAATAGAGGCAGTTGTGGGAATCCAGTTGTTTGCTTCAAAATACCTTCTCTGCAAAAAAATATATCTAAGTTATGCTAATAAAAAGCTTACTGCAGGATAGAATGGGCGGACCTCACAGTCGCTCTCTCTCTCACTCTCTTTGTCACTATCAAACTTTACAATACCATACCATGTAAAATAATAAATGAATTATGTAGCACCTTTCATTAAAAAATCTAAATAATAAATAATATTTAAATAAAATAATAATTAATAAATCTGCTGTGGCATATGGTTTTAATAATTGGATAGACACAAATTTAGTTATTATTCAAAACTCATTCCAGGCTTGGCAGCCTATTTTGTCCAAGTAAGCTTTAAAAAATATGTTCTCTTTTTATATCTCAGCATTTATTCTTTTATTTCAAGCTTATCTATTCATCTTACCCAGTAAATGGGAAAGACAACTGATGAGCCAAGAGTAAAAAATAATCTCCTTGAGTAAACCTTAATTCCTGGCATCTATGTGGACATGTCATTTTCTTGGAAACAGTTAAAAATTAGGTTTCCCCCCCCCCAGGATATTTTTGTATATCCAACCTAACTTTCAAGCCTGGCAGCCTTCCATTGAAATATTAGTAAGATTTCACCTTGTTTAGCTTTTCAAAAACAGCTAAATCAATGTTTCTCAACTTCAACAACTTTATTATGCATAGTATCAACTCCCAGAATTCCCCCAGCCAACCTGCCAGTGGGAAAATTCTGGAAGTTGAAGTCCACTCATATGAAAGGTCCTGAGGATCACAGAGTCATAGGGCTAGAAGGAACCTTGGAGGTCTTCTAGTCCAATCCCTGCCCAAGGCAGGAATCAGGTTGAGAAACATCCGTAATTTTTATATAGATCTCAGAACATTCCTTTCTTGGTATAATCCTCTTCAGGACCGGCAGCAGAAGTGCTCTTACCAAATTTCATGATGCAACGACCCATGTCTCATGCCCAAGCTAAGGAACTCTATTTCAACTTCTCATTTTTTCCATTCAAGAAAAGAAATAACTGTCTTCTTCAGGCAGGGTTTTTAAGAAATGGTACTAATATTAGTTCAGTGTTTGCTGGCAGGTTAATATATGACATTTTATATTATTAGCCCCTTTTGAAGCCCAACTGACAGAAAAACGGGATATCAAGTTATAGAGTAAATAAATATAGGTAGTCCTCGGCTTACAACCACACTGGAGCCCCAAATTTTTTTTTGCTAAGCAAGGCAGTTGTTAAGTGAGTTTTATCCCATTTTATGATACTTTTGCCACAGTTAAGTAAATTGCTGTGGTGGTTAAGTGAAACATGAGGTTGCTAAACGAATCTGTCTTCCCTCATTATCTTTGCTTGTTGAAAGTCAGCTGGGAAGATTACAAATGGTGATCACATGGCCCAGGGACTGTGCAACTGTCATAAATACATGCCAGTTGCCAAGAGCCTGAATTTTGACCATGTGACCATGGAGATGCTATAGCAGTTATTAAGTGTGAAAACTGGTCATAGATCACTTTTTTCCAGTGCTGTTGTAACTTCAAATGGACACTAAATGAATGGTTGTAAGCAGTGCTTTTTTTCTAAAAAAAAAAAAAAAAAGGTGCTGGAACTCACACATGTCATACAACCCGCCTTGCCTACTCTACAAGGTTCCATCCAAAAAAGGTACCGGAACTCCGTTCTGGGCGTTCTATTAGAAAAAAAGCCCTGGTTGTAAGTTTAGGAATACCTGTAAGTACTTATAAGGTTAAGCTTCCCCTATAATTAAGACACAGACAATACCAATCCCCTGCTCATTTTGAAGTTTTGCAAATGTAAATGGTCTTCTGTTTTAAAAAACAAAGTCTGTTCAAATGTAAGTAAATATAGAAATAATATAAAAGCAACTATTTGAAAAGACAACTGTTTGAAGTGTTTCTGAGGTATCCTGTTATAGTACTTTGCTTTGTTACATTGTCTGGATATTTGTTTTTATTTCTTAGAAGCACAATCTACAATGTTTAGGTTCCATCCAATGTGAAACTCCTGATATTATAGGTAAAGAAGGGTATGTCCTTTCGCTCTCCATCTTCTCTCTGTTATCTCTTGTCTCCTTCACATGGTTGTTATTTCTAAGGGAGAATGGCAGATCAATGCTTTTATATAATATTACCTTTCAGCTAATTTGGAAGGAAGGAAGGAAGTTCTGAAGAAGAGAATGTGCCACCTTCTCCCTAAAAGTAACTTTGCCAAATTCTTCTCCACCATTAATAAGAACTTGCCAAGGCTCCATGATTATCCAGCTGTTGGGAAGTTCATATTTTATATAATTAGAGGTATGGATTTAGCTGCTAGTTTAAATAATAAATATTATTTTCAATCAACAGTTAATGATTTTTCAGCACAATTCATCCATAATATATAAATATAAATGGAAGATGAAAAACTAATAGAGTATATGTTCTACACTGTGCCTTTATGGAATGGGAAAAAGGAGCATCTCCATGCAGTACCTCTCTTGAACTCTAAAAAGCTATTTTACGTGGAGCAGATATTTATGGAACTCTGGTCTGACATTTAGACTTCACTGAATATTATTGTCTGCAACAGATGGGGAGCTATATGATGAGGTTCTACAATGTTAAGTTTCTTATATCTCTGTAACGGTTACCAATAACTGTAAAATCTGATGTATGACTGTAAGAAGATAATTTCTTAGTTTTAGAGTATTATTTCCTTAACTGAATGAATGAATGGCCCAGGAATTTCTGAGGCTGTTACACTGCTGATGGAAGAATGTAAAAGCAATAAATGATATTTTAGGTTAACAAATGAAGAAATTATTGCCTAATTATGGAGGACCAATCCAGTAAGCAGACATATAACAGTGTAAACAACAACAATAAAGTATTTTATAAAGATACTCACATTTAGTTCAAGATGTAATAGACTTCTGTCCACTCTTTCTGGTTCAGTGAAATAGACGGAAGGATCAGATTGCCTCAACCTGCAAGCTAAAACCCAGGCATCATCATCTCTATTTGTGACAGGTGTCTTAACTGCCTGTTCTGAGTTTTTCTTCCAAGAGGTTTCTACTGGAAAACCTATATGGTTTTAACAAACATGAAGAAGAAAGAGAATTATCTCCAACTATAAAATATTTAAAGTGCAGGTCATTAGGGTGGTTAGCTGTTGCATCAAC